GTATTTATCGGCCACTTTTTGGCAACTCGTCAAGAGATTTGTGTGCCTTAGTAATCAGTCAGAATATACAATAATGTTCAGATGCCGCTCCGTAGGGAACCCGATCACCCGACTCCTACTCAGGCTATAGTAGTCGCACAGTTCTGCGACTATCATGTTGAGAAATTCTCCGGGCAGGGAGATCCCCGTATCGTGGGCGAGTAGATTCAGAACCTTAGAAAGGAGCTAAGCTTGAGAACTCTAGATTCAATTCTAGATTTATTCAAGTCATGTTAATGACCCGTCAAGAGATTTGTAAGCATTTATGTTATATAAATCTTAACAATCATGTTCCTCAGATATTTTCTATCGAAAATTTCCATTTTGCCAATCAATTGGAAGACTTCAGGGAGGAATTCCTTGATTTGATTCGAGGAATAGACTCAAATTTCCTAAGGCAGATCAGTAAATCATGTTCAAAACAAGAATTTTCATGTTAAAGGTTGTTATAATTCTCAAGTCATTGTTAAGGTAACGGTTTCCAGTGTATAAGAGTCAATAGTCCGGGTTACCATGGAGGCTTGAAATAAGAGCCATTCAGCCGGGTATACCATGGAGGCTTGAAGCTGAAACCGGAGCAGTATGATTTCATGTAATAACAACCTTTAAAGTCAGACATGTCAGATATTTTATCAGTCATGATCTTTCAAGTTATGATTTTCAGAGATCAAGATCAGCTAATTACTTTGTACTTGCGGGACCAGTTAATACTGGAGCAGCCCTATACAGTACAGAGTTATAAATTCATGTTCACGATTTACAGTTGATGTTCATGATGTAAGGTCGACGTATAATAGTTGTTCAGCCGGGTTAAATTTGGCGATCTGATATACAGACCATTAGTCCAAATTTACCTGGAAACTTGAAGTCGTACCTTATCAAGTCAAGTAAGTCAGTAAACATCACGATTTCAATCTCGAAGCGACTATTTAAGTTGTCTCGGGATAGTTTTCAGAGTTCGAACAAAGATGATTCAGTCATGTAAAGAGTTAAGTCATGGTTATTCAGTCATGAGAATATTCAGGTCAGTCATGTCAAGATCAAGGATAGTCTGTCTAATAAGACAAGACTTATCTATCATTTTCAGTATGTCAGCACCTCGAGTCTCAAATTCTGAAGAATCTGAGAAATCGGGGGAGATATTCATTCATGATGGGCTTCTTCTTGAGGTTAAGTTTAACCACGGAGGAAGTAAATAGTTGCAGGTACCACAGGTTGAAATACGCCGCGATGAAGAAGGATCAATCAATAGCAACAGATCGTGCCATGATGACAAACCGACGCCTTCCATTCAAAGATGTCATGCTTGAGTCTCAGTACACTGGGAGATTACAGAGAGTTAGTATTAATGTACATTGAGGTTACTAGCTTGAGGTATAAATGCGATCAGATTATGTCGACGACGCAGGTGCAATGTTCGCCAGGTGCTGTATGCAGGCGTGCCGCACTCACTTGATGAGGAGCAGGTGTGCCGCATTACAACGTGCCGCGAACGATGTGCCGCGTTGTCGAGCAGACATTCACGAAAGGTAATAACCAATACAGCTAGTTATCCTCATTTGTGCATATGTGAAGCTCTGGAATCTTCCATGTGCACCTGCGACAAGAGTTTTCACCACCAGCATTCAGATTGGAGATCAGCCGGCAGCCAGGAGATGATGACCAATACGTTTCAGAGTTTTGATTTGAGATTATGTCTTATCAGTGGAACACTTTCTTTCAGAA